ATCTCTGCTTCCTGCTGTTAAACTGGTTTGGGCTGTTTCCTTATCAGTGGTCTGACTTTTGGTAAAACAAGTTTGACCCCATACCCCAGGAAGTTTGGGAGTTATCAGGGATCCAGGATAGACCAGGACAAGATGCAAGTGGATGCTGTTTGCTCTTTATTATTATTCGTTATTTTCTTGTACAGAAAGACAAAAGTTAACAGCTAAACTCAACAATCGTAGAAAGAGCAAGAGTGGGGGAGCGTGCGAGAGCTCAGAAGCAGGTTTATTCATTGCCCCCAGGCTGCAGTGAAATCCTGACACATTACCGAATGTACAGATCCCAGCTGACACATGAACACAAGCACATGAAGGCAAGCACAGTTTAAAGTGGTACCAAAATTAACCCACTGCACAGTAATCATTTCTATAAGCTCAGTTGCACATATCGGGGTTTCCAATGGCACAAATTTACAATTACACAGTGAAACAGCAGGTGTACTCAGGCCTGGGAAAGTGGGTATCTGTAAGGGGAGACAGATTGGGAGGCAAAAGCAGCTGGGGGACTGGTCCGAATCCTGGAGGTCTGTTAATGCTGAGCTGGGGGCGGGAGAGCAGGCGCTGTTCAGCAGTCAGGTAGCAGTACAGTGAACAACTGTCGAGGCTTGAGCTGGAGCGGGATGTGCTGTTTGGATATCTTTGTCAGAGAAATTCTTGCTAGAGGCAGACTCGCCGCCCACGGCCTGTGAAAGGAAAAGCTCCCCCTATTGGAACGTTTGGGGGAGAAAGATGGGAGCAGCCAGTTTGGTCGTGCAACATCTGTTTTACACAACACTTGGACAGACATGGACTCGTGTTAAGATTGCAGTTAAGATCACAAACTATGTTACTCACAGGATAAATACAGGAGTGGTGGGAAAGGCTGTAATACCCAACGTCCCCATGGTGGAGAGAGAATAGGGGACCACCCTTTACAGAAGGAGCCCTATGCACGAGGATTGCCAAACTCCAAAGCTAAAGGCACACAGAAGGAAGGGACCCTTCCTTACCTCAAGCCTTTTCGTTGAAGAAGTACTCAACTTAAACTGGATTCCTCTTACACAAGACCCAGAAAACTGACTAAAGGAGAAAACCTTTCAAATATTTTTATGTAGCAAGAATCACAGTTACTGTGAATTATCTCAAATAGTGATTTTCTCTAAGTTTGGAAGTAGTGGGCTTCAAATTAATGGGCTTTTACCGTAGTTGCAAGCAGTCTGATTACAGTACTTTAAAATTAGCTAATTATACTGATTAGTATTAGTAGACTTCAGAGGGGAGGATGTGCTTGTTTCTGAATTGGCAAAGTCCTGAAATGGAGCGTCACCACTTATCAAGCTGCAAAACAGTCCAACCCAACAGCTCAGCCTTGACTGCGAGTAGACACACAGGGGCCGGAGCACACACACTGCCCAGAAAGACAGAGCCCCAGTGACTCAGAGCCTCCCTCCACCATCTTGCTCTCACATGGACGAAAGAACAAACTGAAGGCAGTGTTGATTTTGTTTCTTCTCATGGGATGCCAATGGTTGTCAAAAGATCAACTCTGGCTGAAGGTTGGGAGTCTCCATCTGGGAGAGGGGAAGCACCTGGCTCCAACTACTTAACAAAAAGACACATTTGGGCCACAAATTCTTCATATTTGGGCACCAGAAACACACTGCCCAGCACGTTGGGCAGATTCCTATGTGCCCGAGCACCCTAAGGAATTCGCACTAATGGCAGTAGGTTTGGCAAATAGTGGAGACTTCAGCCTCCCAGGGGCCAGCTGCTCAGCACTGAGTATCCCCACCCCTCCCCCCGCCAAGGCGCAGCACAGCTGTGCGGGGTGCGGGGAGCGCACATGCCAGGCACCTGTGCGCCCCACTCTTTCTGTTGTGCTTTCATTTTGAAAACCCGAGGTGATAGGCAGCGGGGGAGGGATAAGATTGCAATTCTTGTTTTAAAAAGTCTTACAAAGTTTTTGGTTGAAAACAAGTGACGGTCATATTTCAAGAATTTTTAAAGCCTTTTCTTTTTTAATGAAAAATATCTAAGTAACTAACCCCACCATTCCGAAAGTCAATAGTCACACATCTTTACACACACATACACACATGCACACACACGTGCGCGCGCACACACACACACACACACACACACTGCCCAGGAGTGCTCAGATTTCCTTCAGCTGCTGACACAAAACAGGAGCTGAGGCAGGGAGCACTGTGCCACAAGGGCATGTAAGTGGGGGTCTCACAAGGAGGAAGCCCATAGGATAGACCTGCTTCATCTACTTCCAAAGGCTTTTGAGGGGGGACAGAAGGTGGCAAATTTGGGTGGGGGGCGCTCCAAGAGCTAACCTCTGCTTTGCTCTTCCAGGGCCTTGCCATGAGGTTGCTCACCCCCAGGAGCCTCCCTACAAGCCAGATCCCTCCTAGAACAAACATAGCCACACACCGGCTATTGTTTCAGATGAGCAATGAGAACGGCAATGTGCACACATGTACACCCACACCCACACCCACCCACCCACACACACACACACACACACACACATACACACACACATACACACATAGTGTCCCCAGACAACAAAACTGTGGCTACTGTATCAAATCAACATCCATACAAAGACAGAGTTTGAAAAGATATGTACAGGGCATTCGTAAAAGCCAAATGTGCACCGCGAGGAGTTATGCCCATTGCGTGACTATGTAGACTCTTCTTTTTCTACAATATGCTGTGAAAACCATCCCAGAGGCCTTGGCACACCCCACCTGGAAGAACTCTGTGAAGCACCTGAGCCAGAGACCACAGGCCAAAAGGAGCTGCTTCTAACTCTCACCACAACTGGTTCCCAGCCCCTGAGAGACACATACTTCCCTCCACAGGCCAGTCCCCAGGCTTCTGCTTCCTGCTGTCTCTCATGGCCACCCAGCCTCAGGCTACTAGGCAACTCAGCAGGGGAGGCTGAACAGATGCCAAAGGCAGCAGACACTCTTTGGCATACTTCCTTTGGCTCTGGTCAATGTCTGATTCCCTGCTACCTGGGGAAAAGACACATTGGGGTAAGTCTCTTGTCTTGTGTTCTCAGGTCACACTTAGGTGCCTACTTGAGCAACTACTAGAAGAGCTTCTAGCTTTCCCAGGTCTTCCAACATGGCCTAATGGGATTGTCCCCGGCCTCAATCATGGAAAAACTAGGAGCCTTTTAGGCCAAAAATCCCTTTGTGAGGAAGGGGAGGTGTGTAGTACTAGGGAAGGGAAGAGGAAAGAAGGAAAGGTGGAATGCCACTTGTCAGCATGCCTGGCATCAGTGAACTCCAGGGAGAGGGGCACCTGCCAGGAGATTGACTTCTCAGGTTGAGGGCAATCAACCTTCAGCTAACACTGGTCCCCTACATATTTCTAGAAGAATCTTACTAACAGCAAACCTCATAGGCTCCATGGGGCTCCAAGCACTTCACAAGCATTAGCTCAGGCCATCCAGGGGGCCTGTGAGGTGAGGGAAAGATGCAAAACCCTATCCACAGGCTCCAGTAATCCTAGGCAGCAGCCTCACTAGGAAAAGAATACATGCCTTCTGCCTGCAAACACATCCCCAGAAATGTCCCCAGCACTGGAGGAGCCTCCAAAAGTGCTGGACCTCACAGCAGGGTCGCATTCAAGGAATGAGTCCCTTTGTCTGCCTTGGAGAACTGTTTATACAGGAGGAAACTTGTCGATTCAGTTTAAACTACTGTGGTTGCCAATAGACCTACACTGTGCACTCTTTTGGGCCCACGAAAATTTGCTACATTTTTTAAAGCACCACAGAGGAAAAATGACTTGTCACAGAGGCCAGGAGAATGGAGATGAGGGTGGGAAGAGATGGTATCAACAGTGTCTATGCACGGTCACTGACAGTTACAGGCAGGTCACCTCTGCCCAACTGCTTCCAAAGCCTCACTGAAAATGGACTGGCACCTGGCCACAGCGTAGCAAACCCCAGATGGGCCTTCAACCCCAGTTCATGGGCTTCCCCACTAAGAAATGTTTATGAAGAGACACTTTAGGATCCTCTCCTCGGGTGAGACCCTCATTAGGAGAAACCATCCATGTGAAGTTCAAATTCAATGCACCCATTCACAAACAAGGGAAATAGCCTAAAAGATCAAAGCCAGAGAGCTCAGTGCAAAGGAGGCCAAACTCATGGGTTTAATTGTCCTATGGACACACAGGAGGAAAACTTCAGCTCTCTGTCCTGGCCTGCACCCCAACCACGGGGAGGCCATGGGCTCCACAGTTAGGATCAGAAGCTTGTTTCCCCCATGACAAAGTGCTCGAGGGCTGCAAGTGGGCTCATGCCAGCGGGTAGTGGTTTTAGCACAGCTGGTACACAGGTTGGGGGAGGCCAAGCAATCAGAAACAGGGTGGCAAAGCTCGTATGGGCCCCTTGGTGAATCTGAAGGAAAGAGCTCTGCCACCCAGACGCCCGCTGCACCCCCCCCTTCCCTCACCCTGTCCTCCTGCCAGGTTGTTGCAGACATTGCTTTCAACTCAGCCAGGAGTGAGGCGGTGGGGGTTGGAAGAGGGCTTGTCACAGATTGGTGTGATCAGTTACCCTTGGCCTCCGATGAATGGCCCAGGAGCTATTGTTTTGTTCATTTGTTATTACGTATTGTATTTTTGTTTTGTTCATTGATCAAAATCAACCCTGTCTCTGTCCTCATCATACAAGTGAGGACAGAAAGCACAAACTGTTGAGGAAAAGGGCTGCTGTGGGGCGGACTTCTCTTCCTTACCTCTGTGGCCTAGAGCCCCAGAACCAGCGAGGTCTCCAGCCAGCCCCACAGTTCCAGTGGCTGAGCCTGTGGAGATGCTGGCCACCATTAACATCACAGGGTGCTTCCTTTGGCATAAGAGAAGCCAGTCCCTGACAGGGGACAGACGATGCAGAGTTGGGGGGCCTCCGGAAGAGCTGGGTTCTCAGGCCTGCAGCTCTTCCCAGGGGGCTTTGACTCATGCGTGTTCTGAACCCCCACCCTCCCCACCTGGTCTGCCAACTGGCTTCCTAAAAATCCACGGTTAGGGAATTATTTGGCAACAAGGAGGCTAAGGCTGTTTTGTGGTGGCACAGTCTTTCAGAAGTTCAGAAGGAAACAGGAGGCCCGTGAAAGAGGCTTTCGCGTGGGCCAGGGCACGTGCATCTCTACTTGTCTGCACCAGGGCTGGCCGCCACTATCTCTTCATACTTTGGGGGTGGGTCACTATAAGAGACACTGGCCTCCTCACTGTTGCCCTCCTGAGGCGCAGTCACCTCCTCATAGGAGGGGGGTGGGGTGGCACTGGACAGTCTGGAAAGAGAGAGCTCAGGGAGGTAGAGGGTACTCTCCAGCCGGACCGTGGTTCTGCCCCCCCGGCTGGGTCCCAGAACTACCTGTGAGTTGCCCCCTGCCTCACGGTGCCCAGAAGACTCCCCCTGGCTATGCACAGTGCCCCGGTACACCATGACCCGGGGCAGGCTGTGCCCGGTGCGGCTGGCAAGGTACCGGTTCTGGGCATACGAGGGGTGATGGCGAGTTGCCTTCTGCAGCTGGCATCTCCAGATGATGAACAAGGCAATGACGATCAGCAGCACTACCCCCAGCAGGGGCACCACCACGTACATGGCATCTGAGTTCTGCGAGGGATCCCGGACGGAGTAGACCGCATTCGGGTACCCCTTCCAGAACTCCATCTGCAAAAGAAGAAGCCGTCACTCACCCCGGGGCACTCATGCTCCATGTGCACCTCAGAGGCCTCCAGCAAGTCTCATCCTAGGTCAGGCAGGTCTGCAGCTCCCTCCCTCCCTTCCCCATCTGACTGGCCTCAGGGAGATCTCAGAAAGGCTGCAGAGTACAGCAATGACAAAGGACAGCATTGCCAAGTGAGGAGCCTCCCTCCCCAAAAGTCAGGCAATAGAACTGGAGGGACGTTTTATCTATTCCTTTTGGCCCCGGTGAGCACACCGCAGACTGAGGTGGCTTTCCTTCCTTGCTTCTGTCTTGTCTAAGGTACCTAGGCCTGTTCTTATTCCTCCAGAACCCAGCCCCAGGGCAGTACGTGCCGTTTTCTCTTTGTTCTCAAACACCTCTTTGACTTCCTCGTAGCTACAGATCTCCTCCATGCACTCTCTCTCGATGGTGCCCTGGCGCAGCTCTTCCAGGAACTCATTGGCACGAGGGAACCGCTTCAGGACTGCATGGGCATTCTTTGCCTCTAGAAACACTGAGAAGAGAGGCACAATGAGGCCCGGGATGGGAAGGTGCCCGGGATGCGAACTGAGGTACAGCTATTGAGGGAGATAAGGCAAATGAAGCATGTACAATGCCAGGCCTCCACCCAAAGACCAGGGGTGGGCCTCTGCAAATGGGATGGAAGAGGTGACTTTCTATGATGCCATGCTCTTCCATGGAGAACACCACAGTCCCAGCAAGATTCAGGCCCTTGAGGATACAGAGGAAAATGGGAGCCAACTAAGAGAGGAGCTCATACTGCACAGGACCAAGGAAGAATCAGCAATCTTCTGATTTCCCTTGAAAAAAGGCCCAGGATCTTCTGCATTTCCCTTGAAAAGAGGCCATCAGAGCCCTTGTTGGGACAATTGGTTCCTTCTTGAGGCTGACACTAGTGGGACCAATACAAAATAATCCTATAAAACTGTGTAGCATCCCTCCACTTGAACTGGCCACCTGTGCCACCAGGTCATGTAGCATTGGCTGTCTTACTTGAGGCAGTCTAGTACAAAGCCAGGCCGTGGCAGATCAGGGGACTGGGCACACATGAAACTTAGCGTACCTCTTAGAATAGAGGGAGTGGGATCTATAAGGAGCGTACACAGTTCAGGGTTTGGCACATGCAAAACTGCCATTGGGACCTAGCCATATCAATGTATTCCAAAGGGGCAAACCCAGCTACAACTGGCTGATTGGCAAGAAATGAGCCATGCACTCCCAAGAGTTGAGCTGAGGCTCTGGAGGATGAAAGAAGAGGTGACATTTGCCCCTGGTATTCACCCAAATGTGGGACATCCTAATTCTCATGTGAAGAGATACCCCTTTGTGCCCAGGCCCAGTGACGTGGGCATTAGTGTGCCTATGAAGGCCTGGCAAGTCCAAGTGAGCACATGCTCTAGAACACAGCTTAAGGGGAAACTGCTGCTCAGTCAAGTGGACAATGGGACAATGGGCACAGGGCCACCTAAGGTGAAGAAAGCTGGAAGGGACTTGAAAGGGGGACATGTGTCATTGTCATGAGCCCCTAGGCATAGCCCTTCCCCACTCTGGTGGAATCAGAAACACTCACCTGCCATGATGCTCCCTCAGCTCCAGTGTCTCACTTGCCTGGAAAGGGAGAAAAGTAGGCTTGTGGTGAAATAGCACCCAGAAATCTACAGAGCACCACCTTCTTGGCCTTGAATGTGACTCTCCCCCCCCCACTGCCCTAGTCAAAAGGTCAAAACAGCATTGCGAGATGCAGCGCCCTCCACACAGCACCCAGAGCTCCTGCTTCTTCTTGTCCTCTGGCCCAGCACAGCCAAAGAAAAACTTCTAGGTGTTTCCCCAAGAATTCATTCTGCGTGTCTCCACACGTAAGGTTAACCTTTTCCTTTAAAAAAGAAAAACTCTTATGGGCTAAGGCTCCTCGTTCCTCAATCTCACAATGAATCTTTGAGCCTTCAAACTGGAAAGGACCAAGCAACGATGAGGAAACAAAGCCCAGAGAGAAGGGGTCAGAGAGAGACAAGGGTAAGCAAGTTGACCATGACAGAACAGGACCTGACTTTGGAACAGATTTTGATCACAATGATGAGTCCCGGATACCTCTAATGACAAACCTGTTCCTTGAATACCAAACTTAATGCAGCGACAACAACCATCTCAAATGGCTCCTAGTAACCTTCAGTGGATACCTGTTCTGCAGGGTTGGATCCTACATATCCAACAAGGTCATATTCTTATTACCTCTGAGCAAATCCCACAGGACTCAGATGACCTGCTGAGTTCAGCTTCACCACAAAAGGAGGCATGCAGCTCTCCCCTCTTTGCATTAAAGACCACTGCAGCAGTGTACCAAGATGTGGATCCAAATGAACAAAACGGACACAGGGCTGAGTATGTAGCTCAATGGTAAAGTATATCCTTAGCGTGTGCACTGCCCTGGGTTCCATCCCCAGCACCTCAAAAAGCAAAACCAAACAAGCAGACAACAACATCTGAAGCACTAACAAGAAGAGAGGCCTCTGATCTGAGCTATTGTCCCAAAGCCTTTCTCCTGCTAAGGAGCTACCAACCAATATGGACACCTTGGGCATGGCACACCGCTACCTTGTTTCTCCTTGCAACACATGCTCCCACTCATACACACATTCTGGAGCACTGGCCGAGCCATCCACATCTGGGAGCAATCACCCCACTGCTCCCCTTCCCAAGCAGAAGCTTGTGTTTTATGACTAACCACTAACGGGATGCAAGACACGTGAACTGCGTAACCCATTATGCTACCCGTTTTGCCTAGGCTGCCAGGAAGTTCAGTGTTAACACTGACGATTGAGCACAGGCATCCTGGAAGCCCAGCTGTTAAGCACATATGCTTCGCTCCTAAGACTTGGTACTGTTTGGGATTTGTGCTTTCGAAATCCTATTGTTATTGTGCATTGATGATAAGGTTTCTAATCCTTCTGGAAAACAGGAAAACAATCATCCATAAATTTAAAATGATGGGAAACCAGAAAATCTAACGTCCATCTGTGATATCTGCATGGCACAAGGTGTTCTCTTTTGAACCATGCAATAATCCCACGGAAAACTATCAGCATATGAATATGAGTTTGCCAGCAGACTGGCCTGTAATTGTGAGAGAGCTGACTCTCAATATTTGCAATGGCAAAGATGATATTGTCTCAAAATTCTGCTTCTGTGACGCATCTCTGAGGTCCATGTGGTGAGCGTGTGGAGGTGGTATGCCTAAGAGCAAGGCTTCTTGGTTAAAGGAAAACTGGAGCTGTTGTGTCAGGTTTTGAAAAGAATGAGTAAGGGCTTTACTAATAAGGGAAGAAAGAAAATATGCTTCATCGCTTACCAAAGTGAACTGCAAGTGAATTTTTTGAATAAAAAGTTTTTTTACATGGAAATCAAAAAAATTTTTACACGGAAAAATTACATAATAGCTCTCATACAGCCATCTTTCGTCCCAAACACAGGGACCTTGATGCATGCACACCCATATGCCAAGTTTGTGTTATCCTGGCACCTGCAAAAGTCATTGGCTCATTTTTAAGCCAGAATCTCCCCCAAACAGCTCACATGGCATAGTCTACTCCATCAGCGATTCTGTAGCCACCACCACTGCTGCTGCTGCCTGCCACAAGGCCCCTTCACTCTCCCTCCCAAAATTTAGTGACTGCTTCTTCCCCTATAAATCCACCATCAATAGGCAGTTACTATAGCAACAGTGAGGCAGCATGAGGGCTCCGACAGAGAATGCTGCTGCAGTCACGCATGTATATATCTCTCCTGCCCCTGGTGGATACTGTAAAGCTGACTGTAGGCTGAAGGAATTTTTAACCCACTCCCCACAGGCACACAGCTGAATCCTGACAACCTGGAAAGGAAGGAAGAAAGGAAGGAAGGAAGGAAGGCAGGGAACCAGTCACCACAAAGACCTTCATTAACTCCACCCCAGGCTGAAGGCTCTGAATCACAGCACTTTGGGCCACGGCTCCCAGGCGCCCAGAGTCCCTCACATGGAGACTGGTGGCAACCTGAGCACCTGGTGTCCCAAGACAAGGCCTCCAAACCACTTCTCCAAATTCTAGCCTTTTGCTAGAGAACTGATCGCCAGGAAAGGGTTCTGTGATTTCCAGATCTCATGATTCATCGACCCACCCTGTGACATGACAACTCCCAAATTATGCCCAAACTCAAATTCTGGGGTCCCTTGTCCCCTTCCACTCGTGCCAACCCTGAAAGTGCCTGTCCTCGCCTACCTTCGCCCGACACCAGCGCTCTGGCCAAGAACTCCTGCTTCTGGCCCAGCAACACTCATTCCCGAGGTCTCCTCAAGACCCCAAACGCCTTGGCCAGCAGGGCCTCCAGATCTCCCTCCCCAGGAGTGACCCACGCCCAGCTCAATGGCCCTGGGCACCGAACAGTGCCCTCGGGACCAGGGCGCCCAACCAATGGCCTCACCGTTCTCCGGGCCCAGGAGGTGACCGCCCTGTTTGCGCACGCAGCCCGACACCTCGCTGCTGCGCCTCTTCCAGCAGGGCCCCTGTCCCCGCCCACCTGCTCCCCGTCGGCCAAGCCCCCCGGCCCAGCCCAGCCCTCTCCTCCCTCCGTCCCTCCCCGCCCTGCCTCCCCCCCGCCGCCCCAGGCGCCTAGTCGCCCGCCCGGCCAGGGCCAAAGTGCGCGCGGATCCCCCGCCCCTCGCAGCTAGGCGCCCAGGCCCTACCCATTACCTCGGCACCCCCCTGCCTGTCCCTGTTCTCTTCTGGGGGCTCCGCCGCTGCCCGCCCCCCACCCCGCCGCGCCAGGTCTGGCCTCGCGCCCCACGCCTCGCGCGCCACCCTCGAGCGCCACGACCGCCCTGATCGTCAGGCCGCGATTGTCGCGCTGCACCGCGCACCAGGCCGCCGGCAGGGCCAGAAGTGGAAGGAGGGGTGGGGGCGATCAGAGCGGGCTGAGGGGTTAGGTAGGGAGGGCGGACAAGCTGGGCCGGAGGGGCGGCGGCGCGCACCCAGCACCGCGCGCCCGCGCCCCACTCCGCCGGCGCCGCCCCTGCCCGTGCCCGTGCCGCTGGGGGGCGGGGCCTGGCCGGCGGGCCTGGGGCGCGCTGAGGACCCTTGACACCTCCCTGGCCCAGTCGTAACCCAGGACACAGGCCCTCGGAAGACCCAGCCCAGCAGCGGCCTCAGACTGCTGCGCCCAAGACCCGCGTGCCAGGCGACCCCGCGCAGCGCAGCCCAACCCCCTTCTTGTCCCCCACCCGAGCTCACCTGCCATTCTTGGCCGGCCTGGCCCGTGGTACCTGCCTGCGGTGAAGAGAGGGGTGCGGACCAGCAGGCGGGTCGCCTTGCAGAGGCTGCACCGGGCCCCACAGAAGAAGGGCTGAATAGAGGCCGCCTTCTGTCAATGACTGAATGACCTTGGCTTCCTCACTTACCTCCCCCCACTCTGCCCCGGGACTGCAGGCTTCTCTCCTGTAAAATCTGAGAAATGGAGAGGCTGCTGCTTCCTCAAAAGGCTCCAGCAAGATGAAGGAGGAAGTAGGCTTGGGAAAGCCTAGGGAACAGAAAAGAAAGAGGAAGGAATCTGGGCCTGCAAGTGGGGGGACCTCTTGCAGTCCACTCTGTGGGAGGTTCAGCATGGCTGGACAAGGTTCTGGTAGCAGAGAGATGACACTAGTCCAGGAATAAAGACGATAAGATTGGACCACTGAGAGCCAGGCAAGACCTATCCTGAGAAGCTAAGAGTCTGGGTCTGGATAAACAGAAAATCAAAAGAGGGGTCCAGTGTGCCCTGCTGGCTTAACAGGCCTCCTTTTTGTTCCCTGCACCCCTAGAGCACCGCATTGCACTGGGGTAGAAGCCCTCCCCCGGAAATGTGGTGCATTTAATGGGAAGGAGCCTCCATGCCAAGCTGAGAAATACCAAGTACCTGTCAAGTACCTGGGGAGGGGTGGAGGAAGGCTTCATCACCCAGGGCCTCCTATGTTCCAGCTCCTAGGACTGGCTCTTCCTCTGCCAGTCCTCACCCTTCCTTTTCCCTGCTCCTTCCCCATGGCGCTCTCTCTGCCTCTCTTGCCCTTACTCTTGGAGGCCCCCTTCCACCTGGCTTGCTTCCTTTTTGGAGGCTGCAGGGGTCTTCCTTGCCATGACAGACTTTTCAGTGGGGTGAAGGTGAGGAGAGCCATGAAAACAAGATTGCCAGGGGATGACAATGGTCTCTTTTGGTGCAAATGACTGTGTATAGAAACCCTAGTTTAGGGAGAGAGAGCTGGAGTCAGGGATGCAGGGGGAAATAAGTAGGGCTCTTCCAGAGCTAACCTAAGTCTCATAAGCCACCATGTTCCCACCTTGATCTTAACACCCATGGACCTTTTTGGAAAGTCCAGGGCAGAAGCACACTGCTGTCCTCCCAGCACCTGGACTTGAGCTTCTGACTCCAGCAATACCAGCCCACTCCTAGTTCCTTCTCTGTGCTGAATGAATGCCTTTCTGCCCACTGCTGGCCCAGAACACTTGCATCCATTCTTCCCACCCAGTGCAGATACGATCTGCACGATGAGGTCTGGCAAGGTCCTCCTCCCACCCAAGTGGGCCATTCTGTTCTCAGTACTGT